TAGTATCCAAAATCTATAAAGAGCTCACCAAACTCCACACCCGAAAAGCAAATAACCCAGTGAAGAAATGGGCAGAAAACATGAATAGACACTTCTCTAAAGAAGACATCCGGATGGCCAACAGGCACATGAAAAGATGTTCAGCGTCGCTCCTTATCAGGGAAATACAAATCAAAACCACACTCAGGTATCACCTCACGCCAGTCAGAGTGGCCAAAATGAACAAATCAGGAGACTATAGATGCTGGAGAGGATGTGGAGAAACGGGAACCCTCTTGCACTGTTGGTGGGAATGCAAATTGGTGCAGCCGCTCTGGAAAGCAGTGTGGAGGTTCCTCAGAAAATTAAAAATAGACCTACCCTATGACCCAGCAATAGCACTGCTAGGAATTTATCCAAGGGACACAGGAGTACTGATGCATAAGGGCACTTGTACCCCAATGTTCATGGCAGCACTCTCAACAATAGCCAAATTATGGAAAGAACCTAAATGTCCATCAACTGATGAATGGATAAAGAAATTGTGGTTTATATACACAATGGAATACTACGTGGCAATGAGAAAAAATGAAATGGCCTTTTGTAGCAACGTGGATGGAACTGGAGAGTGTGATGCTAAGTGAAATAAGCCATACAGAGAAGACAGATACCATATGGTTTCACTCTTATGTGGATCCTGAGAAACTTAACAGAAACCCATGGGGGAGGGGAAGGAAAAAAAAAAGAGGTTAGAGTGGGAGAGAGCCAAAGCATAAGAGACTGTTAAAAACTGAGAACAAACTGAGGGTTGATGGCGGGTGGGAGGGAGGAGAAGGTGGGTGACGGGTATTGAGGAGGGCACCTTTTGGGATGAGCACTGGGTGTTGTATGGAAACCAATTTGACAATAAATTTCATATATTAAAAAAAGAAAAGAAAAGAAAAGAAAAGAAAATAGTGATAGATTACCAGCTGACTTCAATAGGAACAATAAAGACCTTTTCAGATAAAAAAATAAAATTAAGAGTTCATTATTGTCAAACCCTCACTAAGAGTTCTTTAAGAAAAAAGAAAATTATCCAAGAAGGAAGGTTTAAGATTCATTTTAACAATGAAAATAATAAATATATGGGGAATGGTAAATGTCAATTGAATGTATAAAATAATAACAGCAGCTTATTGGATATATGACATATTTAGAATAAAAGACTAGACCTTAATGCAGTGTATGTAAGTTGAGATGGAGATAAGGTGTTCTAAGGACTTTAATTGTCAGTGAAATGTGTAAAGCTACCAACTAATATTAAATTTTCATAAGTCAAAGGTTCATGCTGACTGAAACTCATACATCTAATGGGAATGTTAAATGGTACATGCACTTTAAAAAGCTGTTTGGCAGTCTCCTATAGTTAAGGTTTACTTACAATATAATCATGTAGTTGCATCTATAAGTGTTTTTTAGGAAAAATGAAAACATATGCTCACACAAAGACTTATATGTAAATCTTCCCAGAAGCTTCATTCATAATAGTTGAACATTGGAAATAGTCCAGATGTCCGTTAATAGGTGAATGGACAAATTGTTATATCAATGCAGTGGAATGCTACTCTGAAATTAACAGGAATGAACTAAAGATAGATGCAACAACATGAGTGAATTTAAAGAATACTATGCTAAGTGAGGAAAGCCAAACACAAATGAGTGCATACTATATGATATGTATGAAACTCTAAGGGAAAAAAATGTAACCATACTGAAAGAAAACAGAGGAGTAGTTATCTAGGGCCAGGGAGGGTAGAGCAGTTTCATTCATCACACATGTACTAGGGGCTTACTCTGTCCCAGGTATATATTCAAGGTTGAGGGGATAGAGACAGATTACTCATGATCCCTATTCTCAAGCAATTCCTGCTTTGGTAGTACAGACAGACATGTGTTCTCAAAGAAGTGTCCTAGATTTTTAGAAGTGCTCATGGAAGTGAGGTGGGGCAGTCACAAAATACTTTCTAGAAGAGTCTTGAAAGAGAAATACTGGGTGGTAAGACTGGATCTCTTAAAATGCCAAACCTCATTGTTCATCCATAAAATGTAAATGTTTGATTGAGGATCCTACCAGCTGACTAGCTAAGAATTCTTCACAAGATGACTATTCTAATGAAGCTCTAGAGGCTAAAACATAAAAATTTCTACTGAGATATGATACAGAAACACTTATGTTGCAGTATAGTTCTCTCCATCCATGCATAGGCACACTGCTATGACTGTGCCAGGGTAGACAACTGCATTTGCTAATAACCATAAGTAAGGTAGCTTGTTTCTCCCATGAATCACTCCTTGCTCAGTGTGGTCAGAGGATTACTGACCCTTGGGTTCAGTCCCAGAACTTACCAGGCAACATACTCAGATAGATTGTTAATAGGTACTGGCTATGTGGCTGATTCCTGATAGGGATTAAAATTTGGTTTTGCAATCAGCCTTGCTGACTACCTAGTTTGTACAAAGGTGCTTCCTTAGGATCTCTCTGTTGAAACTGTACTAAGTCTTTTCCAGTCTGGATTTTCATTTATATAGCAAACGTATAAGTAAGGTACTTGAGGGAGCAAGATGTGAAAGAAGGCCCAAGAGGCTGCAGCACACATGGCTGACTCTCTGGGTAGAGTTAATAGATAGGCCTTATTTGCTTGCTTTTCTATATAATATCTCTCACCACATTAAGACTTCTTTCTATGCCCTATTTGACCCAGACTTACATTCCCTATCCTCTTGAGCATGCCAACACTCAGAAAGAAGGTCTGACTACTCCCCTGTCCTCAAATCTGGATGATTTTGGGTATAACAAGTATCTTGTCAAAATTCTAGGGTATAGAGACTTAGGAAATATTCATAGATAGGCAGAACGGATGCATAGAGAGATCAAATAAATTGCCAAAGATATGAAACAAGTAAATGGCAGAACTCAGGACTTCTAACTTCTAGTGCAGGTATTTGAGGCTAGAATACTATTGCTAACAATTATAAAATTATTATTATAGTGTTATTGTTTAAAATTTGTTTATATTTATACCACTATAATTAATCATATAATTATGACAAGATTATTAACAACAGTGAAAATAAGAGTAATGTTAATTATAGAAGCTACTATTTCTTGAGTGCTTACTCTTTACCAGATATTGTGTTATGGGCTTTATAAACATCATCTCACTGGAACCCCAAACAAATTTCTGAGGCTGGTAAGATCACACACAGTTTACACATGATAAAACTGGCTTTGTGGGATATATCACCTTGTTCAAGGTATATTACCAGTAAGTGGAATTGCCAGAATGTCAGCCTATTATCAATTTGACTGTAAAGCTCACTCGTTAGCCGCAACACTATATAGCTCATATGTATATATAAAATGAAGATTAGAAAAATGATTTTAATAGAATTTAAAAGTGAATAAAGGGAAATCTTAAATTTAGTTTAATAACGCCACCAAGAAAAAGAATCAATTTATTTAAAAAAAATCCTGGCTTGATAAAAACTCACAAGAAATAGATATTGGAGGGCTGCCTGGGTGTCTCAGTTAGTTAAGTGCCCAACTCTTGATTTCAGCTCAGGTCATGATCTCATGGTTCATGAGATCAAGCCCCATGTCAGGCTCTGTACTGACAGCATAGAGCCTGCTTGGGATTCTCTCCCTCCCTCCCTCCCTCTGCCCCTTCCCCACTCATACTAAATAAATAAACTTAAAAAAAGAGAAATAGATATTGGAATAGCTTTGGTTGTCCACAAAGCTCAATAGTACAAAGACTTTGGTGAAGTTAAAGAACCATTTTCTACAGTGTTTTTTTACAGTATTAGGAAAATACTGTCCACAGTAAGGGAAGTGAAGATCCTGAGTGTTGAGTTCAGTTATGGGCTGTTCAAAAGAAAACTACCAGAAGAGAAGGAGGAGAAACAAGAGAAGAAAGTGGCCATGTTCATCCTGGAGATTAATAGATTCACAAGGAATCATGGCCACCGTCTCCAACTCCCTGAAGGGGAGAGGAGGAGGAAGCAGGCTTTTCTTTCCTGTGTTGCCAGAGAAAGAATTCTAAGATCAGTCAGTGGGCTAGGAGTTAGAGGAAGGCAGGTTTCAGCTCAGACTGAAGGTTTTCTAATTAAAGAAGGTATTCTAATGAAGGTAGGGTTTTCTAATTAAAAAGTTCTGTTACAATGAAATAGGTTACCTGTTCTTCAATAGAAATGTTTAAGCAGAAACTACAGGACAACGTTTAAAAGTGCTTTACCGGAGCTTACTATTCCTGTGATAACTAGGATGGGGTAGTTACTAGGTAGAACCATCCCACATTGACATTCTCTGTATTTTACTTTAAGGGGGTCATTTTGAGTGGGGTATAGCTCCTCCTTGTAAGTAGGAAGTTGGTGATCTCATCACATATGCTCTAAATGTCTTCCACTGGCAACTGGTTCTCATTTTCTCTCTCCCCAGGTGTCACCACTGTTCTCACCATGACCACCTTGAGTATCAGTGCCAGAAACTCCTTACCTAAAGTGGCATACGCGACGGCCATGGATTGGTTCATAGCCGTCTGTTATGCCTTTGTATTTTCTGCGCTGATTGAATTTGCCACTGTTAACTACTTCACCAAGCGGAGTTGGGCTTGGGAAGGCAAGAAGGTGCCAGAGGCCCTGGAGATGAAGGTGAGATAGAGCAAAGGTGGGGGCTGAGAAGCACTCCCTGAGAGAACTGTATTGGAACCAGGAGTGGGCAGCCTGCAGCCTTTGGGAACTGGCCAAGGCTGTGTGCTATTCACTGGGGTCATCAATCCAATTCTCAACTGGAGTGTTTCTTGGCAATGTGGAGTGTTTGCTGGGGGTAAAACAGGGTAGGTATCTTGGAGTGTTGACATCTTGTGGTGAGGGACCAATCCTAAGTATGATACTACTAAACTCAAGGGGAACACACTGTATTTATAAAGCTACTCAGAAAAGTGTACAATCTCCAGAGCCAACTCTGCTCCTCACTTTTCAGTATATTCTAATTATAGTCAAACTAAAGTGATCATTACTCCTTCTGTATGTTTGCTTATTTTTTTTTTTACATTCTACCTAGAATGTTCTTTTCTTTTTTTCCTGCCTGGGGAAGATCCACTCATTCTTCAAGACCCATATGAAATGCTATTTTCTCTATAGAATCTTTCTAAGAATCATCCAGATAGTTTTAGCTTTTATTGTGGTAGGGGAAGAGTGTTTCTATTATTAAAATCCTGTATTTGTATTAGAGTTGTTTATCTGCCTCCTCACTAGACTGAATATCTTGAGGGCAGGGTCTTATCTGCATCATCTTTCTAACTAGCCAACATTCTTGCACAGTACCTGATTTGTAATAAAAGCTGAATAAATGTTAGTTGGATTGGTGAAGAAATGGGAAGGAGGTAAAAAGAAAAAAAAACAATAAACCAACTATAACTGGTATGAATAAAACATAAATACTGTGAAATCAAGATTATTGTCCTTGGCTGCTTTAAAAGAGTTCAGATCTCTAGATCTAGATGAAGACTATCCAAAGATGCTAAAAAGAACTGGCAGATGTGGTCCCAGAACCATTCCAGTAATATGAAGAATCATGGAGAAGAGAAAAGATAATGAAGATTTTTCAAACTGGAGGAAAAGATATATTTCATAGAATACAGACTGGTGAGTTGGCAAAATTTTAGAATAGATTTTCACTATTTAGATAGAATTCATTAACTCCTTGCTGTAAATTATGAAGAAATAAGCATATTTCTAGTAACTATATCCACTCTATCATAGGAAATTTTGGCTGGTTTTATTATTATACTTAGTCTAGTTGTTGCCTTTGTATCCTTAAAATATATTTATCCATCTAATAATTGATTTGTCATCTATGAACAGGATCTACTGACCCCTTACACACTTCAAGACATGAGAAAATTAGTATACTTGTTTTACCTCTGACCTTCTCTGTCAGTCCCTGTCATTTCTCAACTATTGTTTGTTATAATGCTATTTCTGCATTGTCAAAGTTTGTAGAATTTACATGCTTTTATGCAGTCATAATTCCTATAGTTTAGTCATAGTTCCACATTTAAATGGGCCATCTTCTCAAAATAGTCCTTTTATCCATTTTTCCATTCATTGCTTAGTTACCTCAAAGCTGTTTCTAGAAGTTTTTTAAGAAGGGCTCATGGGAATCATATTTCCTACTATCTTGCATGTGTAAAATTATCTGTCAATTGTGTTTATACTTGAATTGTAGTTGGGATGTTGTACAATTCATGGGTCACATTCTCTCTCTGATGTCCATATAGACATTGATTGCTATGCTCAATTCTAGCACTGAATGTTGTTAGGAAGAAATTTAAGACAAGACTGAGAATCTCTTATATAATAGAGGACTTGATTTTATGGCCTAGAAGTCCATACAAATGTATCTTTTATTTAAGAATTCCAATTACTTTACAAGGATATATCTTGATGTATCTGTATGATTTTTTTCTTAGGACAGCATGTGTTTTTTTCAAGTTTTTATTTAAATTCCAGTTAGTTAAATACAGTGTAATATTAGTTTCAGGTGTAGAATTTAGTGATTCATCACTTACACACAAGACCCAGTGCTCATCACAAGTGCCCTCTTTAATATCCATCAACCATTTAACTCACCCCCCTGCCCACTTCTCCAGTAATGATCAGTTTGTTCTCTATGATTAAGAGTCTGTTTCTTGGTTTGCCTCCCTTTCTCCCCACAATATTCATCTGATTTATTTTTTAATTTCCACATGATTGAAATCATATGATATTTGTATTTCTCTGACTTATTTCATGTAGCATAATACTCTCTAGCTCCATCCACATCATTGCAAATGGCAAGATTTTGTTTTTTATGGCTAATATTCCATAGTGTGTGTGTGTGTGTGTGTAATATACATACACCACACCTTTTTATCCATTCATCGGTTGATGGACATTTGGGTTTTTTCCATAATTTGGCTATTGTTGATAATGCTGCTATAAATAAAAGAATGCATGTATCCCTTCAAATCAGTATTTTTATATCCTTGGCATAAATACCTAGTAGTGCAATTGCTTGATCATAGGGTAGTTTTATTTTTAACTTTTTGAGGAACCTCCATACTGTTTTCTAGAGCAGCTGCACCAGTTTGCATTCCCACCAACAGAGTAAGAGAGTTCCCTTTTCTCCACCACATCCTTGCCAACATCTGTTGTTTCCTGTGATGTTAATTTTAGCCATCTGACTGGTGTGAGGTGATATCTCATTGTAGTTTTGATTAGTATTTTCCTGATGATGAGTGATGTTGAGCATTTTTTCATGTGTCTTGGCCATCTGTTTGTCTTCTTCGGAAAAATGTCTATTCATGTCTTCTCTCAGTTTTTTAAATGGATTATTTATTTTTGGGAAGTTGAATTTGATAAGTTCTTTATAGATTTTGTATACTAACCCATTATAAGAAATGTCATTTGAAAATATCTTCTTCCATTCCATAGGTTGCCTTTTAGTTTTGTTGATTATTTCCTTTGCTGTGCAGAGCTGTTTATTTTGATGAAGTCTCAATAGTTTATTTTTGCTTTTGTCTCCATTGCCTCAGAAGACATATTTAGTAAGAAGTCGCTATAGCTGATGTCAAAGAGGCTACTGCCTGTGTTCTTCGCTAGGATTTTGATAGTTTCCTGTCTTACACTTAAGTCTTTCATTAATTTTGAGTTTATTTTTGTGAATGGTATAAGAAAGTGATCCAGGTTTATTTTTCTGCATGTCACTGTCCAGTTTTGCCAACATCATTTGTTGAGGAGACTGTCTTTTTTTTTTTCTATTAGATATTATTCCCTGCTTTGTCAAAGATTAGCTGACCATATAGTTCTGTGTTCATTTCTGGGTTTTATATTCTGTTCCACTGATCTATGTGTCTGTTTTTGTGCCAGTACCATACTCTTTTGATCACTATAGCTTTGTAATATTACTTGAAATCCAGAATTGTGATGCTTCCAGCTTTGCTTTTCTTCTTCAAGCTTTGGTTATTCAGGGTCTTTTGTGGTTCCATACATATTTTAGGATTGTTTTTTCTAGCCATGTGAAAAATTGTGGTGGTATTTACACAGGAATGGCATAAAATGTGTAGATTGCTTTGGGTAGTATGGACATTTCAACCGATCCATGAGCATGGAATGTTTTTCCATTTCTTTGTGTCAACTTCAATTTCTTCCATCAGTGTTTCATAGTTCTAAGAATACAGATTTTTTACCTCTTTGGTTAGGTTTCTTCCTAGGTGTCTTATGGTTTTCATGCAATTTTAAATGAGATTGATTCCTCAATTTCTTTTTCTGCTGCTTCATTATTGGTATATGGAAATGCAACAGATTTCTGTATGTTGGTTTTTGTATCCTATGACTACTGAATTTGTGTATCAGTTCTAGCAATTTTTGGTGCAGTCCTTTGGATATTCTCTATAGGGTATTATGCTATCTGTAAGTAGTGAAAATTTCACTTCTTCCTTGCTGATTTGTATGCCTTTTGTTTTTTGATTGCTAAGGCTAGGAATTCCAGTACTATATTTAATAACCATGGTGAGAGTGGACATCCATATCTTGTTCCTGACAATAGAGGAAAAGCTCTCAGTTTTTCCCCATTGACAATGATATTTGCTGTGGGTTTTTCATATATGTCCTTTATTATGTTCAGGTGTGTTCCCTCTATCCCAACTTTGTTGAGGGTTTTTATCATGAATGGGTGTTGTACTTTGTCAAATGATTTTTCTACATGCATTGAAAGGATCATATGGTTCTTATCCTTTCTTTTACTAATGCGGTGATTCACATTGACTGATTTGCAAATATTAAACCACCTTTGCAGGCCAGGAATAAATCCCACTTCATCGTGGTGAATGACTCTTTTAATGTAGTGTTGGAATTGATTTGCTAGTATTTTGTTGAGGATTTTTGTGTCTGTGTTCATCTGGGATATTGGCCTGTGTTCTCTTTTTTAGTGGAATCTGGTTTTGGAATCACAGTAATGTTGGCCTCATAGAATGAATTCCTTCCATTTCTGTTTTTTTGAATAGTTTGAGAAGAAGCCTGTAGATTAACAACTATCTTTATGAAAATTTCCTAAAGTTTTCCTAAAACATATCTTTGTTCTGTTCTCTTCCTAGAAGCACAAATTATATATACATATCATAGAGCTCTGTCTTATTGTTTTTCTCTAAGAATTTTTAACTGATTTTCCACTTCACTATGCTCATTTTTCTCAAGCCTTTCTTCCATGTCTCTGACCATTCAAGGTGTCTATTCACCTTGATTTTGGGGATAGTATTTTTTTCCTTAAATTAATATTATGATCTTTGTTGATTTATTTTTATATGGTTATGTTTGCTTTGTATGTTGTTCCAAAATCCTTTATTGGTCATTTCACCTCCCCCTCTTTTTGTAACATATTTTGTATTAGTACCATATTAGCTAGCTTTCAATTATTACCTGAAGTTGCATTGGGGGAATTCTTTACTAGCCCTGCTGTGTGTGAGAGTATCATTTTGGGAAGGGACTGAGAGAGTGAGTAGGACAGTACTGAGTAGTTGACACTAATTTGAGCATCATCTGTTGTATAGGAAAGCCCTCTGTGTATGGTGCAGAGGTGTATGTGTGTAATATTCCTTAATTTTTCTACT